ATTTTAAAGACAAAAATGCATGCAATCAAACACATTATTCACACGTGCACCTCTAGGATAACCTCGTTTGTTGCCTCGTAAAATAGTCATGTCTCTCGAATATGGGCATTTTAGCAAAGACCCTCAATAAAAAAGATCGTAGTCCCTCGATGTTGCCTTTGGTAAACGATCTAGTCCCTTATGAAAATTGCTAAAACGTCTCATAAGTTGCCTTATATGACTATACGATTGACCCATGTCCGTCCCTTCACATCCAATTATGGGGCTTCTTACCAATCAATGGTAAGGTAGCAATATCTAAGGGAAGAGGAAAAGAATAAATACCTTTTGAGTAGGTAGGACACTCGTAGTTGCTTGATCACAAATTAAAACCATTTCCGCACCCACACTTTCAAAACACCTTCAAAAAAGAAACATCTCTTTGAACTATTTTCAAAACCAACACTTTGTATACATTCTTATAGAGACGAGAATCATTACAAAGTTTGCCGAAACAAAGGCGTTTTCAAAATAATTTCAAAACCCACCACAAACACATTTCAAACAAAGCAATTTCAAAAGTGATCTAACAAGCAACTAAGAGCCCGTAGATAACTACGGATAAAAATGATGCTAACACCTTCCCTTTTCATAACCTACCCCCCGAACTCAAGAAAAAAAATCTCGAAAGCTCTTTCCTGTTCTTTTCACCCTTTCCTTCATTGGATAAAAGAAAAGTCGATGGCGTCTCTTGCTATCTGCAACATTTGCGATAAAGCGCAAAAACACCCGAGTCAATTCTCCCGCTGTATGACACCATCTAACCAAGGGCTTTGAAGGTTGACCCTCATCCAAATAGTTATTCAATGGAATTTAAAAGCTTGAGCTTCAAAGCTATGATTATGGCATTCAAGGTCTATGGTTGGAGATCTCTCTCAATTTCATTTAATCCAAACTTATCTCAAAGAGAATAGTTGGATTCATCAAGAAGATTCATAGGCTCGTGTGTTTAAAGAATTGAAAAGATTATAGGTCATCCATGGATTCTTCGAGAAAATTTCATCATCTTCCAAAGGCCATAACTCTTTCAATTTTTATACTTTTTGAGTGATCTCAATTTCACAATTCAATTTAAAGGGTCTATTCCATTTCATACTCAAAGATAAAGATTCAACTTTGTGTGGAAGGGCTTGTAACTTTGAAGAATATTATAGGTCATTTTGAAGCTCAACACTTAGAATTTTTTCTAAGTACCAAGATCAGATTGTTTTTCATGATTTCAAATGAACATAACTTTGTGCTCAGTTATCCAAAGGAATTATTTCTTGGCACATTGTAAAGTTTGTGACCTTGTCTTTCCAATGTTTCAATAATCATGTCATAAAGCCTCCTGAATAAGTTACACCATGGATTTGAAGTTGGTATCTTAGAGTTGAAGTTTCTCATAGCAGCCATAATGCAAAATGCTTAATGTGACTTCTAAACAAAAAATTATTGCACGTTTCTGACCTAAACATGTCTAACAAACTTTTTAAGAATTGTTTAAGCCCCGAAACGCAAGAATTAGTTAAGTTTTAGGCAAGTTTGAGTCACACTTTTCTCACTTTCGGGCTTCACACGATTTCCCTCCAAACCTCGTGATTTTGCACATATAACCTCACCATTCACTCTCCTATAAATAAAAGATCATTCTCCACCCATTTCCCAAACTTTAGACATCCATAATCATCCTGCCAAAGTCTCACCCAAAGCTTAAAATTTGAAAATCCATTTCCCAATTCCAAGCCTTCTCTCTTCAAATTCTCTTCTGATTCTTCTTTCTCAATTATCACATAAACTCTCCATCACCTAAACCAAGCAATTTGAGCCATAAATCAAGCTACAGAAGTTCAGTTTCATAGCTCATATTTCAAACTATATCCAGGTAGTTTTCTCAACAAAATCGACCCAAACAAGTTACCAAGTTGTAGTCCTTCTTCCTCTGAGTCTCACACTTCTTTTAGTTTTCGTTTTCATTGAGAATTGATCATTTATTTTTAAATTTCGTTTTGCAATTTTCATCTGTTTTTTTCCAAATCGACTAAGCTATGGTTTAAAGAATTTTTTTGTGAGGATATGGTTAGGATTGTCTGGAAGAGACGAAACTAATGATACCACTGCGAGCTTCAAACATTTCCATTTGAAGAATCTCATGTAATCCCACTTTGCAAGCGTCTGGAGGTTGAAGACGACCTACATGTCGTTCTTCAATCAATGAAAATCATGACAATTGTTTTTTTATTGGCTCGGTTTAAATTGAATCAAGTGTGTTTCTCACTAATGGCCATAACATGCACAACGCGTTAGGTCCCTTGGATCTGATTACTAACACGTTTAGACATTGATCAGATGGTCCACATTTTTTGGTTTTCTTTTATATTTTCTTATTTTTATTGAGATTCGATGCTTTATTCAGTGATGACCATAACACGCACAACGCGTCAGGTCTCTTGGATTTGATTACTAACGCGTTTTGACAATGATCAAATGATCCACATTTTTTTGGTTTTATTTTTATTTTTCAGATTTTTTTTTGTAATTGTTTTAAACTTCAAAAAATCATAGAAAACTCATTTCATACTAAAAAATTATGAAAAAAATCACAAAAATATTTTTGAATATTTTCTTTCTGATTCTTATATTTTCATAATTTTATTTTATAATTTTATTTTTTAATGTTTTTTCTCATCTTTTGAATTGTTTTATTTGTTTAAAAATGTTTTTAGACCTATGAAAATTACGAAAAAATTATGGAAGGATTCAATGATATTCTGACAAATATTGGTGATCTTATTTTATTTTTATTTTTGATTTTACTATTTTTTTATGATTTTTGATTTATTTCACTTCATTCTTTATATTTAAAAAAATAGTTTCTGATTTTTAAAAATTCAAAAAGTTTTGTCAACACTTGTTGACCTCTATTTGACCATTGGAAAATTTCTTAGATTTTTATTTGGTGTTTTGACACCTTTTGAGTATTTCATCAATAAATTTCAATTAAATAACCATTTTTAAATCATTTTTTTAATATTTATATTCTATTTTGAGGGACTTTTATTTTATTATATTTGGTTCTGACTTGTTGATACTTGAATACTTTTTGAGTCATCAATTTCTTCAACATCAATGGAACTTGAGTGTTGATAGGTCAAAAGACCAAATCCACCAAGATGATTGATTGATTTTGAAGAAGTTAAACTTAGTTGTAATTCATTTGAGGCACTTATTACACGGTGACTTTCTTTTTTTCTCTTTCATTTTTTTCCTTTTTTTTCTTCAATTGATTGATTCTTAATGACTAAAATTTTATGTTTGTAATCCCAAAATTTTAGTGGCCCAAAATTTATTAGGTATGGGTGCTCATGAGTCATAATTTGTATAACATTCTATAAGAAATAAAAATTATGTATTATTAAATATTATATAATTAAAATAAGGTTTTTAAATGAATACTTTAAAATTGAATTTCAAAATATATTTTTATAATTGCTATTATATTTTATTTTTTTATATTAGTGATATTTATATGAAACATAAAAAATGTAACTACTGATTTTAATATTGAATACTATTTTTGATGATGTTGATTAATTATATAAAATACAATTTGAATTAATTATAATTTATCAATTTTTTGAAACACCAAATTAAAACAGTTATAATAAGAATTATAAAAATTTGTTTAACATACAAAATTTTAATACACACTATTTTCTTTATAACTTTTTTCATTGATCTAAATAACGTGGTTGGAGTAAATTTTTTATAAAAAAACAAAAGTTTTTCTTCTTCCATTCTTACGCTGTCTGTATTTTTCTACGTCAACACCACTCTCAGTAACACAACAAATCAAAAATTTTCTATCTAATCAATCAAAGTTTCTCTTTTGTCCAAATCAAGCCTACTTCCTAAATTCATGGCCACTAAAGATAGAAATAAGTTGAATCGAGCTAAGTTTTGGCAAACTTATTTAAATCTGTCACATATTACATGTTTATTTTTAGGACTGAGTCTGATCTTTTCTAAGACCTGATTAACTTAAATCAATAAAACTAAAAATCTGTTTACATTGATTTATCTTAACTTACCAATTAACATAAGTTTTGTAAGATTATTTGTGAAAATAATTTATAACATTGTTCAAAAGGTTTTTTTCATCTTATTTTTATAAGTTTTCTAAAATAATCAAATTTTATTTATGTATTTTGATTTAAAGTATAAAACATATTATAATGATAATAAAAAATTTATTTATATTTATTTATATAGGTCAATCTGTTATACTTAAAAGATTTTTTTCATAATCTATTGTATAACCTTTTTAATTAAATAGACTTATAAAAAAGTCTAAACTTAACTTAAGCCTATATAAATTGGACTATAGTCTGAACTTAATCCTTGTTACCCCGTATAACTTTGATTATTCTTTCCACCCCCAGCATCCACTCCCACTCTTTGATTATTCTTTCCTCTTGGCGTATAGACCCTCCTCCACATATGCGGATTGGGCCTTGCTTCAACGAACTCATACTCCTTGGGCCATGTTCTCTATCAGGTTTTGTTGGAAGCTTCAAATCAAAAGGGTGGTCCCATCCCATGATAAATACTAGCTTGGTTATTTTATTTTTAAGCATGTGATGACAAATGCCAATGTCTAGTCTGTGACTCCACTCACTAATCTCTCTTATTATTCTAATGTTAATTTCTTGTCGGGTTTTTACAACAACTAGGATTTTATATATATAATTACTTTATTAATTAGGAGTGACTAAATATTTTTCCCAATGTTGACAACTCTCTGGACACACTGACTCATTTTTAAGTTGACACCAATTGTTGATTCTGGTGTGAGTACTATTTTTTGCATGAGTATGATTTTTTGAATAACTTGTCCTTAATGTTTTTCATTTTATTTTCAGGTGCTTCAATCTAAATCAGCATATTCTTCCATTTCTATAGTTAAATCTTAAGGTCTTTCAATGGAAGATTATTCACAAAACTCAAAATGGAAGTATCATGTTTTCTTGAGTTTTAGGGGAGAAGACACGCGCTTAGGCTTCACCGATCACCTATATGCAGCTTTGGTGCGCAAGAGTATAATAACTTTCAGAGATGATGAAGAACTTGCAAGAGGTGAAGTAATCTCACAGAAGCTACTCCATGCCATTGAAGAATCTCTCTCAGCAGTTGTCATTATCTCCAAAAATTATGCTAATTCAGCTTGGTGTTTGGATGAGTTAGTCAAGATTCTCGAATCTAAACGTTTGTCAGGACAACAAGTGTTCCCTATTTTCTATGGTGTGGATCCCTCTGATGTAAGGAATCAAAGAGGAAGTTTTGATGAGGCTTTTAGGAAACATGAAGAAAAATTTTCCGAAAGCAAAGAGAAGGTGCAAAAGTGGAGAGATGCATTGAGAGAGGTCGCCAACTTGTCAGGCTGGGATTCTAAGGATCAGTAAGTGCATGCCTTTCATTTGTTAATGTAAATATGAAAACAGAAACATGAAAAGTAAATAGGTCCTTGTATGATTTTAATTTATGCGATGATTATATGTTATGGTTATTGTTCAATGCAGACATGAAACGAAACTCATTGAAGAAGTTGTTGCACAAGTATGGAAAAAACTGGAACTCAAATTCCCATCCTATAACGATGGACTGGTTGCAATTGATGCCAGATTGAAAGAATTATATTCAACTCTGAAGATAGGATCGGAGGATGTTCGCTTCATAGGGATATGGGGCATGGGTGGGATAGGCAAAACGACTCTAACTACAGCTCTTTACAAAAAAATCAAAAGCCAGTTTGATGTAAGTTGCTTCATTGCTAATGTAAGGGAAGTCTCGGGGGAAAGAAACGACGGCATGCTACAGTTACAAAATAAAATTCTTTCTCATCTGAACATAAAAGGAATGGTAATTGAAACATTAAGCCAAGGAAAGGACAGCTTAAGAAACCTTTTATCCAACAAAAAGGTTCTTATTGTCCTTGATGATGTAAGTTCTAAAAGCCAACTTGAGAATTTGGCTGGAAGCCAGGAATGGTTTGGTCGAGAGAGTAGAATTATAGTTACGACTAGGGATAAGCACCTCTTGATATCGCATGCTGTATTGTTTGAAATGTATGAGAGTAAAATCTTGAATAAAAGTGAATCCCTTCAACTTTTTTGTGAAAAAGCATTTAAAAAGGACAAGCCGGAAGAAGATTATTTAGAGTTATCTAAGAGTGTGGTCGAATATGCTGGAGGCCTTCCTTTGGCTCTTGAAGTGTTGGGTTCTTTTCTCTGTGGAAGAAGGATATCTGATTGGGAAGACGCTTTAATCAAAATTAAACAAGTTCCACATGATGATATCCTAAACAAACTTCGAATAAGTTATGACATGTTAGAAGATGAACACAAGACTTTATTTCTAGATATTGCCTGTTTTTTTAAGGGATGGTATAAACATAAAGTGATACAAATATTGGAAAATTGTGGCTTTCATCCAACACTCGGAATAAATGTTCTTATAGAAAAATCACTAGTAACTTTTGATGGAAGAGTTATTGGGATGCATGATATGCTAGAAGAAATGGGTAAAACCATAGTTTTTCTAGAATCGTCTAATGATCCTGGAAAACGGAGTAGATTGTGGTCTCTAGAGGATATTGATGAAGTACTAAGAAATAATAAGGTTATTCCCAATTTCAATGTTACATTACATTTGTTGCATTGTGTTCACTGTATCTTGTGTTACCTATTTGACAATTATTGTTTAACAGGGAACTGAACTTGTTCAAGGTATTGTTTTGAAGTCATCACCATCTACGTCATTTGAAGCGCGGTGGAACCCAGAGGCCTTCTCAAGGATGTCTAATCTTAGGTTACTCATTATATTATGTGATTTGCATCTTTCACTTGGTCTGAAATGTCTTTCTAGCTCACTAAAAGTGCTTATATGGCGGGGATATCCAATGAATACTCTACCACTTGGAGTTCAACTGGATAAGCTCGTTCACTTACAAATGGTCAATAGTAAAGTCAAACAACTGTGGAATGGAACTCAGGTAAGGAGCTTCAAATAAGAGTTTTCATTTATAACTAGGATTTTCAAATACTACTTATCCATTAATATCTCTGTTTTGTTCAGTATTTTAGAAAGCTGAGAGTAATTGATTTGAGCAATTCCAAAAATCTACGTCAAACTCCAAATGTCTCTGGAGTTCCATACCTTGAAGAGCTGCATCTTAATGATTGTACAGACCTTGTTGAAGTTCACCAATCTGTTAAAGAGCACAAAAAGCTTGAGATATTGAGCTTGGTAGGATGTACGAATCTGAAAACCTTCTCAAGTACATTGGAAATGGATTCCTTGAAAATGCTCATTCTATCTGATTGCTCAAACATTTCAAGACTTCCTGAATTTGGAAAAAATATGATAAGCATGTCAGTCCTTAATTTAATGCACTGCAAAAGTATTGTGTGCCTTCCAAACAGCATTAGTAACCTGAAGTCTCTCAAAATCCTCAATATATCCGGATGCTCAAAAATTTGTAACCTGCCAGACGGTATAAGGCAAAACAAGGCTTTGGAGAATATTGACTTGAGTAGAACTGCTATTGGAGAAATGGATCCCTCCCTACTTCAATTAGGGAATCTCAAAATATTATCTTTAAGTGGATGTGGCTTGCCAGCTTCCGATTCTGGAGGGGACGTGAGTCGGCCAAATAAGAATCGGTTAAGGTATTTCTCAGCTGACACAGGCTTAATATTGCCTTCTATTTTCTCAGGTCTTTCCTCATTAACTGTTTTGGATTTGAGCTATTGTAATCTCATTGATGATTCAATTCCCGATGACATTGATGGCTTATCATCATTGGAGAGACTAATTCTATCTGGGAATGATTTTCTGCGCCTACCCACTTGCTACTTTGTTAATCTTTCAAAGCTTCGCTATCTTGAATTGGAAGACTGTCCTCTGCTTCATCCTATACCATTGCTTCCACCACATGCATGCTTGTACTCAACAGATTCAGATGCAAGGGAATCTAAAATATTGGATCCTCAAAAGATATGGAAGTTGTTTGAATCAAGCAACAAAGAACTCTTTCTCTCACCCGTGTCATTGGTATGTGCTTCAAGTGATTGAAATCAGATGTCCACTTTTTATTTGTAATGTATGCATGAATTTCTGCTGTTTTTGTTAACAAGGACAAATTTATTGTTACAGATAGTTGATTACCCTTATCCTGTGTACACGGAAATCCCTTCAAGATTTGATAATCATAATTTTTTCCCCTTGAGCTCATCATATGTTTCAGAAGCTGACTCAATTGCATCGATAACAGTAAAGATCCCTACTGACTGTCGTTCGAGTAATGGGTGGGCAGTTGCTGTATTTGTGGCCTTGGAGGAAATTGATGAAAGCTTTCAGGCCAAGGAAAAGCTGCTTGACAATACCAAACAAGATTTGGGGGGAAATCAATGCATTGGTTATTTAATCCTATTGATAGTAGTGATTTCGCTATTAATCTGTGTATGGTTTCGTATTCCAATAAAAACCACTACCAAACACATGCGCATGCGTTGGAACTTTGATACTTTAGAACCTGAAGATGGCTCATCCTTATCTCTCTTCTCTAGTTCAACAGCAAACAATAAACTGTACCTGTTCACAATGGTAGGGAGTGGTGATTTTATATACATTCGGCGACACACAAGAGGGGAGCGAAAGTCCATGCACAAATCCTTTAGCAAGCATCGGAAGCCAGAGTTGAGGGAAAACAGTTTGTTGCATTTTGAAGTGCAAGTGGAAGGGTGCAAGATAAGGAAGTGTGGATGGCGTGTGTTGCACAAGGAAGATTATCTTGAAGACCTTAAAGAGGTGAACAACGGTGAACTTTCTATGGCACCTTCCGAGCATGTCAGTGGTATGTGCAAATCAACTGTGGATAAATTGAAGGGAGAGAATGCTACTGCTTTTGATGTGCAGAAGATAGAAAAATCCAATGAAAGTTTCTCTTTGGTAAGTAACCCTCTAATCTCACACGCAATTTCGATACAGTTTTCATGGTATTCTTTATATAACATGTTTACCACTATCTCTTGTTGCAGGGAAAAATGTTTCAGAATATTAGACAGGGACTATGTTTAAGCATGCTAATTTTAATGTCAATGATGGTAGCTGCTACAGTATTCCCTTTGCCTGTGCAAGGTTTCGGCTTTAAAAAGCACACCACAACAAATGTTGTGCAGAATAAACCATTTAAGTCACATTGGGTTTCCCGCAAAACTGTATTAAAGGTCAATAGCAGTCCTAGATTAAATGTGAGCCAACGGTTGTCATTTCCACTATACCAGCTTCCAAGGAGGACAAATTTCTCTCAGACTCACTTTTGTTCTTACTTAACTAGATGAAGTCATTTTTGGGTTGTGCTCTATATCCCAGACTATGGTCCATTGGAAGTAAGTACGTCAATTTTGTCGACTCAGTAGCCCCAATAGTTACTTGAATAAGGTTTACGTGGCCCACGACCAGAACAGTTTAAAGAGCCCGGACCCAGACACAGGTAAGAAGCTATGCAGCCTTGATCGGGGGAAGACGATGACGTCAGCCCAAGAGGCGTAAAGGCAGTTAAGGACCTTTAGATTAAAGTTCACATAAGTAGGAAATAATACATTGTATTAGAAAGATCATGAGTATTTTTCATTTGTTGCATGAACAAAAAGCAGGCTATAGCTTGTAAGTAATAGGATAGGTTGTACTACGGAGATTAACTGATTAATTGGTCTATAATCAAAAGAATTTTATCCCAAATCACATTTTTTGCATATCACAATGATATTTAACTAGTCAAAAGATGACAACGGTCATATCAACAATCAATAAAAAAATTTAAGCTTCGTACTGTAGAGATGACAATACTCTTACTATTTTTCGGCTCGCTATTATTGAACTCAATCTCAACCTGTCTTCCACTGTTCTTATCTTGCAGGGGAAAATGTTTCACAGCATTAGACAAGGACTTGGTTTATGTGTGCTAGCTTTGATATCAATGTCGGTTGGGGCTCCAATGTTCCAATCGCTTATGCATGGTTTGTGCTTCAAGAAGTCCACGGCAACAATCGAGTCCATAACTAATAAACTATTAAAATCACATTGGATTTCATCCAATAACTATTGTACTTAAGGTCAATACACTGTAATTTGCCTTGCATGCACTATTGTTGTTGCTTATAGATTTTAATTTGGGTTTTGTTGGAAGCTCCAAATCAAAAGGGTGGCCCCAATGATAAATACAAGCTTGGTTATTTTATTCTTAAGCATGTGATATGATGACAAAGGCCAATGTTTAATCTGTGACTCAACTCACGAATCTCTATTGTTATTCTAATGTTAATTTTTTGTCAGGTTTTTACAAGAACTAGAATTTTATATATACAGTACTAATTTATTAATTAAGAGTGCCTAAGTAATATTCCCAATGTGGACAACTCTTACACATTCATATCTCGAGACATTGACTCATTTTTGAAAGCTCAAAATCATCTTTTCACTGGTATTGGTGAGTACCCTTGCTTTGACACCAATTGTTGGTTATGGTGCAAGTACTATTCTTTGCATGAGTATAACTTTTTGAATAACTTGTTCTTAATGTTTTTTATTTTGTTTTCAGGTGCTTCAATCTAAATCAGCATATCCTTCCATTTCTATAGTTAAATCTTAAGGTCTTTCAATGGAAGATTATTCACAAAACTCAAAATGGAAGTATCATGTTTTCTTGAGTTTTAGGGGAGAAGACACGCGCTTAGGCTTCACCGATCACCTATATCCAGCTTTGGTGCACAAGGATGTTCGTTTCATAGGTATATGGGGTATGTGTGGGATCGGTAAAACAACTCTTGCTACAGCTCTCTTCAAAAAAATCAAAAGTCAGTTTGACGTAAGTTGTTTCATCGCCAATGTCAGGGAGGTCTCTGGAGAAAGAAATCAAGGTCTGCTACAGTTACAAAATAAAATTCTTTCTCATCTGAACATAAAAAGAATGGTAATTGAGACATTAAGTGAAGGAAAAGATAGCTTAAGAAACATTTTATCAAACCAAAAGGTTCTTCTTGTCCTTGATGATGTATGTTCTAAAAACCAACTTCAGAATTTGGCTGGAAGCCAAGAATGGTTCGAGGGAGTAGAATTATAGTTACGACTAGGGATAAGCACTTCTTGATATCGCATGCTGTATTGTTTGAAATGTGTGAGAGTAAAATCTTGAATAAAAGTGAATCCCTTCAACTTTTTTGTAAAAAAGCATTTAAAGAAGATGCACCTAAAGAGGGTTATGCTGGAGGTCTTCCTTTGGCTCTTGAAGTGTTGGGTTCTTTTCTTTGCGGAAGAAGGATATCTGATTGGGAAGATGCTTTGATCAAAATTAAACAAGTTCCATATAATGATATCCTAAACAAACTTCGAATAAGTTATGACATGTTAGAAGATGAACACAAAACCATATTTCTAGACATTGGCTGCTTTTTTAAGGGATGGTACAAACATAAAGTGATACAAATATTAGAAAATTGTGGCCTTCATCCAACAGTTGGCATAAATGTTCTCATAGAAAAATCATTAGTAACTTTTGCTGAAGGAGTTATATGGATGCATGATATGCTTGAAGAAATGAGTAAAACCATTGTTTTTCAAGAATCCACTAATGATCCGGGTAGACGAAGTAGACTGTGGTCTCTAGAGGATATTGATCAAGTGCTGAGAAAAAATAAGGTAATTGCCAAGTTACAATACTTTTACTGCACTCCTTGTGTATAAATTGTATCTGATGATTATTGTTTTCTAGGGAACTGAAATTGTGCAAGGTATAGTTTTGAAACCATCGCCATCTCCGCTGTATAAAGTACATTGGGACCCTGAGGCATTCTCAAAGATGGGTAATCTTAGGTTACTCATTATATTATGTGATCTGCATCTTTCCCTTGGTTTGAAATATCTTTCTAGCTCACTAAAAGTGCTTATATGGTGGGGATATCCATTGAATGCTCTTCCACTTGGAGTTCAACTAGATGAGCTTGTACATTTACAAATGATCAACAGCAAAGTTAAACATTTGTGGAGTGAAAATGAGGTAAGAATTGTCAGTTAAGAAGAGCCTTCATATAACTTATAGTGCTGACCCATGATTTTACAATGCTAGTCTCTTTCTTTGTATTTTTTCCCAGTATTTTGGAAAGCTGAAAGTAATTGATTTGAGTAACTCCAAAGATTTACGTCAAACTCCAAATATCTCTGGAATTCCAAATCTCGAAGAGTTGTATCTTAATGATTGTCCAAAACTTGTTGAAGTACACCAATCTATCAGACGACACAGAAAACTCATGATATTGAGCTTGATGGGATGCGTAGATCTGAAAAACTCTCCAAATAAATTGGAAATGTTTTCCTTGAAAATGCTACTTCTCTCCGACTGCTCAAGAATTGAAAGACTTCCTGATTTTGGAGAAAATATGACAAGTATTACAGATGTTAACCTAATGAACTGCAAGAATCTTCTATGCCTTCCAAACAGCATCAGTAACCTGAAAACTCTCTCAACATTTCAAGATGTTCAAAAATCCGTACCATGCCCGATGGTATAAATCAAAACAGGCCTTTGGTGGATATTGACTTGAGCAAAACTGCTATTAGAGAATTGGATCCATCCTTACTTCAGTTAGAAAATATTAAAAGATTATCCTTAAGTGGGATGTAGGGGACCAGCATCCAATTCCAGCTGGGAGTTTCAGCTGCCTTTTGGCAAGAAATTCAGGTTTTTCCCAGCTCACACAACAGGCTTAACATTGCCCCGTTTTGTATCAAGCCTTTCCTCATTAACTGTATTAGATTTAAGCCATTGTAATCTCACTGATGATTCAATTCCTAGTGATATTGATTGCTTATCATCATTGGAGAGTCTGATCCTAAGTGGAAACAATTTTGTATGCCTACCTACTCACTACCTTGCTAATCTTTCAAAGCTTCATTATCTTGAATTGAAAGATTGCCTACAGCTCCAATCTTTACCAGTGCTTCCACCTCATGTACACTTGTATGGAACAGATTCAGATGTAAGGGAAGCTGGTACATTATATCCACAAAAGATATGGAAGCTGTTTGAATCAAGTGACAAAGAAATCAAGAGAATTTAGTTATCGCTTAGTTTGAAACTGGTTTCGATGATGGAATTACATCGATGCTTCTGGAATACGAAGACATGTTAGGCCTTGAAGCTTTAGACGAATAGTTTAAAAATAAGTAAAAAGGCCCAAGTATGATTGCATATGTTCCAAGAGTTGTATATGAGCTAATTTAGAATTCAACTTACATTGGCCCTCCTACAATTAAAAAAAGGGACATCTAAAGCCTTTGTTTATACAAGCTGAAGTTAAAATAAGGATTAGGGTGAATAGTGTACTTAGGTGTAGGAGTAATATAGAATCTCATGCATTTTTTATTGGTGAAGAAACTAGATAATACATAGTGCCACTTAGTATATTATAATGCATGCATGTATTTCATCTATTACTGTTAACAAAAAAAAGTTACACTGTTACACATGTTTGACTTATTCTACCATATATACTCCCCAATCCCACTGAGATTTGATAATCAGATTTTTTTTCCCATTGAACTGGCCATATGTGTCAAAACACGATTCATTTGCATCAGTAGCAATGGACATCCCTGCTGATTGTCTTTCAAGTGACTGGTGGGGGTGGCTGTATTTGTGGCCTTAGAAGCAGAAGCTCCACAGAATTCTGAGAAAGATGCTAAGAGTTTTTTCCGCATATCTATGCACTTGTGAGGGAAATTTGATACTCTAGGACCTGAAGATAGCCCCTCCTTATCACTGTCTGCCAGGTCAACATATAGCAATCTTTACCTCTACACAATGGTAGAGGGTGGTGATTTTATATACACTTAGAAACACTGAAGGGAGGATCGAAGGCTCCTGCCTGAAATGTTTAGAAAACATAAGTGTGAGATATTAGATCAAACTCTATTGAGTCGAAGTGTAGCTTCTGGTTCGACATAATTTATGCATGTCATTGAAGTATGTTCACATGCTGGTGTCGAAGACTTACATACTGTAGTCGAAGTGTGTTCTAGTATGTGAGTGTCGAAATGCTAGGGTTAATAGTATTTCGAATTGGGCCTATTTGTTATATTCAATTGTTTAAGTTAGCTTGTATCCTAAGTTAGCTTGTAATGAGTATTTGTGAAAAATATCATTAATTTAGTATGTTAGGTTTATTACAAATAGCATACTAGGTTTTCATCATTGTATACTGCAAATCCTAATTTATGGTGAGAGAGGTTATTTGTTATTCTTGAGTACTTGTAATCTGACTGAAAGAGAAAGTAAAGAATAACAGTTATAATTAATCCTTGTTGTTCTTCGTGTTTTTCCATCTTTTCTATCCTTGTGGGTTTCTTGCCTTGAAGAACCTTGTTATACTTTGTTTCAAAGATATCGTGTTTCACAACAAATTGGTGCGGTGAGCGTGGAGAAGATGTCTTCAACAAAGTATGAGATTGAAAAGTTCACCTGAACGATTTCGGTCTATGGCGCTTGAAGATGAAATTCCTACTGGTAGAGCAGGATTGTTTGGAAGCGTTGAAGAGAGAGGCAGCCATGAACGTTGTATTTACGACATCTGAGAAAACGACGATGATAGAGAAGGTCCACATCGTAATATTATTGAGTCTTGGTGATAAGGTTCTTCGACAGGTATCAAAGGAGACGACGACATCAGGGTTATGGATGAAACTTGAAAGTTTGTACATGACCAAATCGCTGGTAAATCGACTTTATCTGAAGCAAGCTTTGTATTCATTCAAGATGATTGAAGACAAAGTGTTGGCTGAGCAGTTGGATATGTTCAACAAGCTGATTCTTGATCTTGAAAATATTGATGTGAAGATAGATGATGAAGATCAAGTGATGTTGTTGTTGTGCGTTTTATCCATAACACATGTTCACTTTAAAGAAACTCTCTTGTATGGAATGGAGTCTCTGACCATTGAAGAAGTTCAACTCGCCTTGTATTCTAAGGACTTGAACGAACGAAAGAAACATAAACCTTCGACGGTTGGTGAAGGTTGATGACGGTGGTTGGATGAATCCATGGGGAAGGATACTTTTATTTTGAATGTGAAGAACACAAAAAGGTCCATTGAGAACTTCTCTTTGGTAAGTCACCTGATAATAGCATGCAATTATCTCAAAGTTTCTAATGATATTCTTCATGAAACTTAATTTTATCTGGATCTCATTTTTAAATTTGTTGGACACCTCTTTTTCATCCTACGTCATTTATTTATTGCATCTTATAATAATAGTCAAGATGACAACGATTATATCAACAATAAGTAAAAAAAATTAAGCTCTGTATTGTAGAGATGAGAATACTCTTACTATTTTTCGGTTCTCTATTATTGAACTTTAATTACTTATCAATCTCAACATGTCTTCCATTGTTCTTGTCTTGCAGGGGAAAATGTTTCACAACATTAAACAAGGACTTAGTTTATATATGTTGGATTTGATATCAATGATGGTTAGGGCTACAATATTATGTTCGCCTGTGCATGGTTTGCACTTCAAAGAGTCCACCCCAACAATCGAGACCATGTCTAATAAATTACTAAAGTCGCATTGGATTACCTCCAATGATAAATTACTAATGTAGAGCAATTTATTCCTTCCCAAAGTCTAGGAACTGAATTTGACTGAAACAATAAAATACACAATAAGCTGACACATAGTAATGTGCTACAAGACACTTAATTTAAATAAAAATATATACCGAAATACTAATCTTAACGCCTCCTAAATTGAACTGTCCAATTCAGTTTAGCTTTGATGCATCACATACTCCTAACTTCTTTTTGAATCTCTGGAAGGTTCTTTTGTCGAATGACTTGATAAATATATTAGCAAATTGTTGTTGTGTGCTGGAGACCCTTAATTGAATAGTTCATTCATTCACCGGTTCACGTAGGATGTGGGACCTTACATCGATGTGTTTGTTTTTGTCATGTATCGATGGTTTTTTTAATAGTAATGAAATAATATAAAGGAGAAATACATAGAACTAAGCAGAAAAGTAATATAAATAATATAAAAGGAGAGAGAAGGCATAGTGAAATCACACTAGAGAATTATCATGATCTAGCCTACATCATTTGGTCTACTCTAGTCTCCAAGAGTTTCCCCTTCAGATTTCCACCAAAAACAAACTTGCGTTTTTCATAAGCTCAACTCAAACAACCTTTCAAAGCAAATTGATTTTTTGCAGAGGATAAACCTAACAACCTTTCAACATCCAAACATTGCTTTAACATGGGTTAAACTCAAAACCTGAACATGAGTTTTTTCACAGATTAAGCTCAATAATCTTCACTAGATCTTTTACACGTGCTAAACTCAAAACCTAAACCAAAACTTTTCAAAGGTTTAACTCAATAACTTTCGCTTAAGCTTTTAACAAGTTAAGCTTGCTATCTTCTAAAATTTACAAATAAATCACAAGGATACTATGCCTTTGAATAAACACTTTCAAAACAACACCAATAGAACAATGTTAGCTCGTTGGTGTAGGCTTATGTCAGAGTAGTAAAATATCGTTCCACTGAGGACTATTTGGATTATCGATTTTTATGTATTCGGTGATTAGCTAAAAATTATTAGATTTTAGATGAGTTGGTAATTTTTTATTTTAGAAACTAAATAAAAGACTGGAACTAGGATCATGATTTATATCATTTAGATTATAGGTTGTATCTTATTTCAAATCATATACTTGTATCCTAAGTTACCAAACCCCATATTTTCATGGTCTGGTTCAACGACAGGATCTGTTAAGAATTTCTATTTGCATTGTTACGCACTTTCTTGAATAAACCTAAACTATTTTTATGTGTCAACCTCTTTGTCTAATTTTTATATTCGGATAACAACTTTCACCTTTCAGTCTATTGGTCGAGAGCTGAAGTTACCTCTAATTTCATAGAAGCATTCGCTAAGCGCGTAAAAATCATATTGTAAAACAAAGTTTTGTAAACAGAGTTTCTTGACTTTTTGCTTTACATGAGGTTCGTGATTTGGACAGTCCTCATTGTTCATGAAGAACAAAGTGATGACCTCCCTGAAGCGGGTCAGGAGAGACCGCATGGTATTATTGAGGAGTACTGTATTTGGGATTGCCTTTTTCTCTTCTTTCCATGAGCATTCTCCTTATAGTGCATGATACTAACAAGGTGATTAAATGGTGTTCATGGCAATTACTACCACGGTTCCCTTGTCTCTCCTAGGTCATAATGGATATTGACTATATTGAATGAGGGTGTTTGTATGCCAAGAGTGTTGGCTAGCTCTGTAGGCGAACTCTATTGGGAGAGCTCTTGAGGTCGAGCTCTATTGGGAGAGCTCTTGAGGGCGAGCTCTATTGAGAGAGCTCTATGGGGCGAGTTATGCTTGTTGGCTCTGTGGGAGAGCTCTATTGGGAGAGCTCTGTCGGGTGAGCTCTTTTTTAGGTCCTCTATTTTAGATCGATAATCCGACTAGCAATTATCCCAGGATGTACATAAGTCTCTTAAGCGTGAGACATGTTAAGGGCGGAGCGATTTAGTCGAATTCGGGACATGGACCTTTGATGTACATAAGTCCCTCAAGTGTGAGGCCTGTTAAGGGCGGGACAATTTAATCGAATTCGGGACATGGGCCTCGGGTGTACATGTCCCTCAAGCACGAGGCCTGTTAAGGGTGAAGCGATTTAGTCGAATCTGGGACATGAGCCCCAGATGTACATAAGTCCCACAAGCACAAGCCCTATTAAGGGAGAAGCTATTTAGTCGAATCTGGGACATAGGCCTCAGATGTACATAAGTACCTCAAGCGCAAGGTATGTTAAGGGCGAAGCGGTCACAAAGACCAAGTCATAGCATTTTATGAAGGGGGTGCCATTCGCTGTCCTTTGTATTTTTACGGCAATTGCAAAATGGGCTTGGTTTGGTCTCTCACTTCCTCCATTCATCCATACATCCTCTCACACGAAGTCAATAACTTCTACTTGATATTTTAGGGCTTTAGAACATTATAAATAGAGATAGAACATCACTTTTCAAAGAATCTAAGCTTAGCACA